CAACAACAACAACAACAACAACAACAACACCAGCAGCAGCAGCAGCAGCAGCAGCAGCAGCAGCAGCAGCAGCAACAACAACAACAACAACAACAACAACAACAACAACAACAACAACAACAACGACCACAACAGCGACCGCAACCGCAAGCGCAAGCGCAACTGCAAGCGCTACTGCAAACGCAATCACAAAAAACAACCACAACCACGACAACAATTGAAGCATTCTCATGAAACACACAAGTAATAGTAGTGGCAACCAGCCGTCCTTGACGTCATAATCTTAATACACCTACACTTTACGATAGGCTGAAGGCAGCCAGAGTGAGGTTGGAAACCTCCTGGTCTCAAGGGCATGCACCGGGACTTCTCGCATGGTCTTGCACCCATAGTCTTGCTCGCATTCTCTTGCCCAAGCTGTCACATGTCATGTGTCAGAGACCAATGGTCGGCGAAAGCTACAGTACATGAGCAGATTTCTAAGCAACGACCGCGTGCATTACACTTCTGACCCGTTCACCTGGGAATCCCAATCGTCTGAGGAAGCTGCATAGGTCGCGGCTAGCACCTTGGCTGCGGAAAGTCTCAGACCAAAAACGGAGAGGGAGGGGAGGGTGTCTGGGGGAGGGTCGGGTGTTTAAGGTCGGTTGCAGGTTGGTCTTACAGTCTGTGCAGTGGTATTGTTCCGATTCAGACCCATGTCGGAACAGTTTCCTAGGTGCCCAAAAGGCACTTGTTTGTAAGATCTCCACATGAAGCCGTTGTGCATGGGCTGTACATACCCATCCGGTTACACAGCCCTGGGCAAAGCATTTGGAGCCTTGTTATTGAAAGGTTGAAGGTGTGGTATGGCGGAGATAGATTGTAGGGTCTGGGTGCGAGAGGACTGTTAGAAGCACTTACCAGGCAGGCCCCTCCAACGCTATTTGGTCAGCAGGCGCCTCGCATCGAACCCGCAGAAGGTGTCTCCGCAACACACATTTGTCTCGGCAACCGGCGCGCATCGAACACGCATTAAGTCATTAAGTGTCTCCACAACACACGTGTGTAAAAGGAGACATGTGCTGAGCCAGGTTTCAGGTTCCACTGCGATGGTCAAACACGAGACATTGCATTGAATCCTACGCAGCACTTCTAATGCCACCCCTAGCTTCAGAACCCCAAGTCACGATGGATCCGTCGCCAAGAATAGCAACAAAAGCGTGGGCAGTGGCCTCGATCTGCTGTACATTCTTCAACTGATCCTGCACAACACTGCTGTCACCACCCGATTCCGGATCACCCCAGGTCACGACAGATCCATCGTCAAGAATGGCGGCAAAAGCGCTCTCAGAGGCTTGGATCTGCTGCACGTTCTTCAGGTGATCCGGCACAGCAATGTCCGCAGCAATCATCTCAAGAGTGCCCCAGGAGACGGCAGATCCATCGCCACGAAGTGCAGCAAAAGCGTGGCCAGATGCTTGGATATGCTGAACATTCTGCAGTTGATGCTGCACTCTACTGCTATCACCACCAGAGTCACAAGCACCCCACGTCAACACGGAGCCGTCCCCCAACAGGGCAGCAAATGCAGCCTCAGAGGCTTGCAGCTGCTTTACATGCTTTAACTGACCTTGCAAAGCACTACTGCAAACCCCACCGGAAAGGTCACCACCAGCGTCCGCATCACCCCAGGTCACGACGGATCCATCACCAAGAATGGCAGCAAAAGCGGATGTGGTGGCTTGGATCTGCTGTACATTCTTCAGCTGCTCCTGAACGGCAGTGCTGTCACCACCGTAGGGAGGATCACCCCAGGTCACGACAGATCCATCGCCCCGAATGGCGGCAAAGGCACTCTCAGAGGCTTGGATCTGTTGGACATTCTCGAGCTGATCTTGCACCTCACTACTGTCACCACCAGCGTCAGCATCACCCCAGACCACGACAGATCCGTCGCCAAGAATGGCAGCAAAGGCGAAGCAAGATGCTTGGATCTGCTGAACATCCTGCAGCTGATGCTGCACTGCGCTGCTATCACCACCAGGGTCACGATGACCCCACGTCACGACAGAGCCATTCCCAAGAAGGGCAGCAAATGCACCCTCAGACGCTTGCAGCTGCTTTACATGTTTCAGCTGATCCTGCACAGCACGGCTGTCACCACCATTGCCAGCATCACCCCAGGTCACGACGGATCCATCTCCAAGAATAGCGGCAAAAGCGCTGCTATTGGCTTGGATCCGCTGCACATTTCTCAGCTGATCCTGCACAGCGCCGCTGTCGCCACCAAAACGAGACATACCCCACGTCTCAACAGATCCATCGGCAAGAATGGCAGCAACAGCTTGGCGAGCGCCAATTGCTTGGACTTGGTTTACGTGCAGGGTTAGCAAGTCACCATCCTGCACCATGGAGTCCTTGATCTGTGCAGATGCATCCAAGAGAAATCCAGATGAGTGCAGCAGCCGCCCTCGTTCGACTCCAAGTGCGGTCTGTGCACGACATTTCAATGCTTCCACCTCTTCATCCAAGGCGGCTTGGACGGAAGCTGACTTGCCACTCAGCAATCTAACTTCCACAACAATCGACATGTTGCGGCCCGGGAAGAAAAGACAAATGCTTCAGGGCTACTGAGCTACGGAGTGGATGGGGTAACGGGTTTGAGTTTGAAGGCAAAGGGATAAAGGGAGTATGGTGGGTGGCCAAAAGGGGGGTTTGAGATTCTTGGGGTAGGGATTCCTTAATATGAACCCTATTATGGGAACCCTAACCCCTACTAAACCCCCATAGGCTAAAACCCCTTTTGCCTCCCATGAGAGTAGGGCGTCGGGTGTGTAGTGGATCCTGCAGTCTGCACTGCAGCAGCAGAAAGCTCCGCAGTTGGCACATACGTCCCTTCGCTGAAACGTTTCTAAAGAGACACCGGCATGTGGCTGATGTAGGGGCCTTAATGATTAGAACAGGGATATTGGGCCCAGTACAATATATATATATATATATATATATATATATATATATATATATATATATACACTTATAATAAGGAACCCCCCAAAAAAATAGAATTGGTCATTATTTAGGCCCCCGTAGTAAGGCCGCGGCAACCAAAAACACAATGCCCAGCAAGGCGGCCAGGCGGTTGAGAGCCTCTGGGGTGCCACAGCCGGGCTTTCGCAGGGATCTCACAATCCCCTCGAGACATAGAATCTTCCCTTTAAGGGACCTATAAAGTTTCTGAATCCGGGTACGATGAGTGCAATGGCTGCCAACCAGCCGGGACGGCTAAAAAACATACCTGATGCTGCGGAGGCTCTCCACAAATCCTGTGGCACGTTGTGAAGATGGTATACCTTCAGCGACAGTCGATGTGGTCCAGGCAAGCAACTCTCGGGGCATGGAGAGCCCCTGTTCCCTAACTCTTGTCCGACAACATCTGCTTAAAAGATATACATATATATATATATGTATATATATATATGTGTAATGTAATATCATCTAAGAATCTAAGATACCAAAGAACAATATTACGTACACATAATCAAAGATCTGAAGGAGCTGCTGCGGCCCTGGCCGAAAGTCGTCACGATTTGGTTCCTGTCAGCAGCTGAGCATCTCACTCACCTACTACTGGACTCTTGCTAAGGAACTTAGTTTAAGTTACCGTTACAAAGAAACCGTGGTATTTACTGTTGATCATTATTATGGCAACTTAAACTAAACTCCTCAACAAGAACCTAGTCTAAAACTACTCGGACCAGAGTGTACAGGGTCCTGATGACCATTAGTGCTATCATGCGGGAGTACGAGTGTTGCTACTAGTGTTCGTGTCTCGCGCTAAAAGTCTACATTGCGTGAATTTTCTCATATCTGCAAAAACATATATACATACATTTACATAATCTTATATATACATATATGCATGCATGCATACATACATACTTACTTGCACACATGCATGCAGACATACATACATAGGTGAATATCTGACTCATATGACCATATATGCAGCTCTCTGTCTGTGGATGCTAAGAATTTGCATGCTCATGTGCACAAGTACTTACACGAACTACTCTGAAGGCAGTCAGCCGGTCCTTGCCCGGTGCCACTGTCGGCGGCGCGAACATCTTCTGGATGAAGAACGAGGTGCCACTGACAGGAGCTGTGCAGGAGGCAATCGGGATCCTTCTCCAAGCGTTTGAGATCTGAGATCCATGGCTCGGAAACGCAAAAGACCAACCCCCGGAGAGTGAATAGCAAGCCTGCTACATGCAGTGCCAGGGCCTGATAGACAGCAGCAAGAACTCCAGAAGAACGGCTGGCTCCACGTACCTTGTAAGAGGGTCGGCTGTTCATGGAGGCACATAGATGCAGCCGCGATGAGCTATAGCTGCTTTTCTCACCAAAGCCCAAAACCCTGGAGCTGAGTGAGGGTCAAGCTCTCATACCTGAGGACGTCCATCATGGAGAATACGGCCTGGAGCTTGGGATTCGAAGTCGGGCTCTGGCTTCGGCAGGAAGTGGCACCAACACCGAAATATGTCATGTCAGATTATGCTGTAATTTATTATACTAACTTATACGATGTTACCTTATCCTTGTTACTATGTTAGATTCTGTCATATTAGATGATCATCTGCAGGCCTCCTGGCCTGCGCAAACATGCTATGTTACAGTCAGCCTCAACGGGGTGCCATCGACATAACCTCTTTTAAAGTGCATTCCAACACTGGCACGCAAATAGCAGCACTAATACTACGTAAGTTCTATCTTGCAACGGTGTGACGGTGTGTCTACATCTATGTCTCTGTATAAACATGAACATGTACAGAGCGATAGACAGATTGATAGGAATATAAATATGTTCAAGGCAACAGACCAGACAGGTCGGCCATAGTTCCATAGTCTGAAGCTTTTTTCTGGGCCAAAGTCCCCTTAGTGCCCCTTAGTCTGATGCAGTATGCTGTCTGACTGTCGTGTCAGCAGTTCTACTGTGTGATGTTGCAGGCTCCTTCGCCAGACTAGTTCGCGAAAATAAACCATGCCCCCCAGCCCCAATGCCACATCTCAAGGATACGCCGAGGGGCAGGAGCGCAAAACGATGCGCGCATGGCATATCCGAAATAAATTTCCACAAGCTCTGCCGCTGGAAGCAAAACCTGCCATGAGGATGAAGGAGGAAGAGGGGGATGGGGCCAACGAAGACGAATGCGTAACGGCCACTACTGGCTGAGTTTAACTGGAAAGGAAAGCATTCTAGGGCCTGGATTCAAGGACGAAATGTGAGAGAGGGTTCAGGCCCAGGCATAAAAGTATGTGCAAATATACATGTGTGCGTATACATATATATATATATATACATATATATATATATATATATGTTATAGTAGTATAACATAGACAGACTGGAGAATGCACAACAGAACTGAGGATGATTCTAACCAATCAGGTCCCTGGCCCCTGTATTCTGGCGTCAAGGGCCTAGTCAAGGGATGAACTGGCTGGGAAGCTGCAACTTTTGCCGGGGATCCGGACCGTGGTGATGAACAGGAAAGGTCCTTGAAGCACAAGGGGTCTGAGTCTGCACTTCCATTTCGGCATGCAGAACTCCCGGCCTGTACATATGGTAACGAAGAAAATCATCATCAGGAAGGGAAGGTCGCAAGCACGAGGAAAGATGCCTCGTCAAAAGCAACAGGCAACAACAGCTCTGGTCCAGTCATGCAGTCTTGGGTTTGCAGGTAGTTGACGACTGCGGTGCAGGAACAACCTGAGTCCAGTTTCCAGACTGAGCGAAACTTTTGCTGCAACTTTCTCCTTGCCGAAACAGGCTTGAACTGCTGGGAGGTCGCCAGGGCTTGAATTGTGAATAACTTCCTCGAAAAGAGGCTAGTTACGAGGTTTCAAAGCCGGCACAAAGGGAAGCTGAACCACAACCAAACGAGTCTGCGAAGTCTTACACCTTGGCAGCAAAACCTCACATAAAGAACATTGCCAGCATAGCCACAGTTTTGGAACGGACACACTATGCCTCACGTCTCCCAGAAGCCCCCTGGCTCATCGTGCGAAAGCACCCTGCGAGGACTCCGTCCCCCCACCGAGCTGCCTGAGCCGTCCATAGGGACACCAGGGAGACCTCGCAGGGCTTCAAGGTGCGGAGGGCGTGCAAAACGACTAAACGAGGCGACTTTAACTCGTCGAGCTTCTGCGATTCGTCTGGAGATGCTGGTAATAGTGATTTTTGGTGGTGGTGGTGGTGGTGGTGGTGGTGGTGGTGGTGGTGGTGGTGGTGGTGGTGGTGGTGGTGGTGGTGGTGGTGGTGGTGGTGGTGGGTGGTGGTGGTGGTGGTGGTGGTGTGGTGGTGGTGTGGTGGCGGCGGTGGTGGTGGTGGCGGTGATGATGATGAAGGCACCGAGGGCGAGATGACCATGATAGCGACGATGGCTGGTGAGAATGGCCATGCTGCGGGATACCTGTCAAAATGGACAGCGAAGACGGAGACACCGATCGAGAAGAAGAAAGTCACAAGGACGATGTTACGTTGCTTCAGTTGCGTGCCTTACTGGTTGGAACAGCCAGTTGATGTGATATAGGGGCCTTAATAATTAGAATAGGGTTTTGGGGCCCATTATACTATAGTTAGAATAAGGAACCCCAAAATAGCATTGACAATCATTTAGTAGTCCTATGCAGCCATGAAGTCTGCAACTGAGGCACGAAAGCAGTCGCGCACGAAGTTCCCAGCGTTCCTCTGAAGCCGCACAATCGTCTTTGCCACCACTTGCTTGTACCAAGAATCGACCTCCGGATGCATTGAGAGCTGATCTGCTTCAGGACTTGAGTGTTCCTGGATTTAAGCACTGCGGGCTACGTTCCGGAAACGTACCTATTGCTTCCTGCTGTGCATTCTGTTACTGTTGTTGCACTGTTGCCTTGATGGCGTGTGATGCACTTGATCGCAACATACTCCACTTTACTGTCATCCCCTCACTGCTGTAATGCAACCTAGCTGTTATGCCTCTAAAGCACTGTTGTCGATCGTATACAGTAAATTTTTGCGAAATCTGATTGGTTCTACTGTGACCCTGAAGTATACTCTCTTGGCTATAAACGGGTTACATCATATAATTTTCTGCACTCTAGTACGCTCTGCTGCATCTTCGCTGAGCTTTGCTCTCTTCCGGTCCATCCTGCTGAATTGCGCTGAAATTACTCTACTAGACCCCGACTTACATTCTGCCGCTGCATACTGCTCTGCTTTCCCTCCGAAACTATATACATAGAATGACACTGTTTGGGTGACAAGCCTGTTCAAGCGCAGTGTCAATCTGCAGCATCTACCTGTTTTTTCACTGTACCAGCTCACCACCTCGACCACTAGGGTACACTGATGTAGGGGCCTTGATAATTAGAATAGGGTTTTGGGGCCCATTGTACTATAATTAGAGTGAGGAACCCCCAAAATAGTATTGGCAATTATTTAGGCCCCTAGAGTATGTCGTGTTGCGTTGTGCTGGACTTTACTCGTTTCGCCGTGGGCAGAAGCCGCAGCGACAGCCCGGCCTCATCGGGAGTTGTCGGACTTTCTTGCGTAACCTTGGCTGACTTCTGAACCCCTCCTTAAAGTTAAACTTTTAGCCTCCTTATTAGCGTTCATATAGAAACCCAAAAAGTTAAAGTCTAAAGAGCCAACCAGAAGAACGCCAAGTAACGATGTGACTCGCAAAGGCACTGAGCAGGTAGCCACCTCCAGAAACAGCAGCGATGTACCTGATCTTCTCAAGATGTTGAATTTAGTGAGGGCGAGGGCACAGCTCATGTACCAGGGGGTACCGTACCCTTCAGTTTTAACAGGTGTTGGCTTTCGTGCTGCGGCGAAGGCTTTTTCCCAGCACAGCACGCTCCAGCTGAGGAGAGGACTCGATGTCCTGTCAGAGTGTGGTTGTCAGAAGCAGGACAGGGCTGTTGAGCTAGCTCCATCACTTGGTCCAGTGCAGCGTTTCTCCTGTGCTGCTCGTACGAGAACACCTTACACCCTAAAGGCCAGAACGTATACGAAACTCCGAGCCGCACCTCTTAGCCAGCGAGCTTGACGGACCGTAAGGTTACAGTTCGGGGTTGAGGTTGAGAGATCTGGAGCTCTAAGATGCGGAAGCAGCGCTTTTGCTAGAAAGCCCAGCTGCGACACAACATGGCACATCTACCACCATCGAGTCGTTCAGGAAGGTTTTTGTAGCAAGCCGATTTGAAAAATTGCCGCCGGTGAGTTCAAGACTAAGAGCGACATGATGCCACTTTCGGATCCTTGATATAGGGGCCTGAATGATTAGAATAGGGTTTTGGGGCCCATTGTACTATAATCATAGAAAGAAACCCCCAAATAGTGTTGGTAATCAAATTTACACCTTTAGTACTCAAGCCTCAACCCTAGGACTCCAAGCACACAAAAAGTACCCAATTTTGAAGTCTAAAGTCTTGTTGCACGGGTAGCAGCACGAGTCAACGATGCTCAGAGTGTCAATGGCAAGGATGGTAGTGGCAATATGGCCATATTCATAGCATCGAGCAGCCATACCAGTACAGGTCCATCAAGCACTACTAAATATCTAGTCGAACTTCATAGAAGCCCTCACCCTAGCAAGGCTCTTGTAGTAACCTGGTTGAGGCACAAAAAGACCAGACAGGCCGCCTGCACCACGCCAGCCTCAGCCAGCTGCCAAAGGACACCAGACCTGACGGCTCAGTCTTTGCTTTTTCTGTCAGGGTTTAGCAGGGTTTAATAGGGTGTAGGTTTAGGGTTTAATGAGGTGTAATGGGGTTTAGGGTTCAGGGGAGTTCTTGCAAGGGGGTTTTGTAAGTCTCCGTTTCGTACTTGGGTTTAGAGTCAACAGACAGGATTCTGTCAAGGCTGCAAAGGACGTGCATGACCGGATTTGAAGAGTGTGTTTGGGAGTTCGAGGGCTAAAGGGCATCCATATATCCATATATCCGTAAATATATATATATATATATATACACATATATATATACATATATGTATATATATACATGTATATATATATATATATATATATATAGACATATATGTATTTATGTATTATTTTGTATATATATGTATATGTGGGTGTTCTCGAAAATAAGGGAACCCCAATATAGCACCCTAAATAGTAGGATCCTTCTTCTAAGGACCCCAAAACAAGGTACACCTAATTTTCGGAATCTCCCATATATGTATACATATATATATATATATATATATATATATATAGAGAACATAAATAGATATTATTAGGGCCTTAGGGCTTTGGGAGTTTCGGAATTTTGGAAGTTGGGTGGGGTTTCGATTTTTAGGAGCTCGCGGAAGACCGACGCTACCTCACTTCAAAGCTACCGATCTGTCTACCCCAAGAAGAGGAGAACCGGACAACATCAATAACACTGATAACAAGCGGGGTTTAAATAAATTTGAACTGTTGAAACTAATTGCGTGAATTACAAGCCTCTTGACCCAAACTTGCCCGATCGACTGGAACGTCGCCGCTCGAATGCCGCCACCAGAAAAGGCTACAGAGAAGCGCGGTCTGGTACCTGCCGCGGCTCCCGCATTTTGGGGGCTTAGCGATGGGCTTCGGACGACAAAATGGGAGCTCAAAGGAATAATGTAGGGGCCTTAATAATTAGAATAGGATTTTGGGGTCCAATATAATATACCCCCTTTTCTACTTGCTAAGGCCCCTATGCTACAAACACATCTACAGAAAGAAAGGGCAAGGAGTAGAAGATCTCTGGGCCTACTTCTGCTGCATTCAGGGCCCGGGACGAGCATCCCATCAACCGGACCCGGTTATCCGCGCTCAGCCGAAAGAAACAGAGATTACAAAGCTTGCCACCTAGTGTATCATGCTTCTGCAAGGCAAGCATGGTTCAGGGGTCAGGAAAGTGGTTTGCCAGGGGAAGACCTTGCGATTTGATGCCTATGATATCAAACTACATGAACTTGCAGTTGGGGCCAAGAACCACTTCGATGCTCGCACTCATGAGCGCTGAAGCGCTGGTAAAGCCCAACAATATTCGAGGTCGAGGTTTCAGTGTCAGGGAAAGCACCAGCGACAACAACAGGAGCAGCAACAAAGTCTTACCGTTTACGTTTGCTTCGGCCGGAGTTGGTAGCATTGCTGCATGTGTGTGTGTGTGTGTTTGTGTGTGTGTTTGTGTGTGTGTGTGTTTGTGTGTGTGTGTGTGTTTGTGTTTGTGTGTGTGTTTGTGTGTGTGTGTGTGTGTCTGTGTGTGTGCGTGCGTGTGTGTGCGTGCGTGTGTGCGTGTGTGTGCATGTGCGCGTTCACGCAAGTGCGAGCAGCTCTGCGTGAATTGCTACTTTTCTCCATATGACCAGACGTCTGCTACGTGCCATCTCAGAGTCTTCAGGATAAACTGCTGCAGTCAGATGAACTAGTCTAAGTGTGAGGTTGCTTGTTTTGTTGCTGTGGTTGCTGTTGTCTGTGTCTCTTCGCATGCATTGCTATCAAAGACACCGCAACCGACTCTGCCTCGCTACGACGCACAAAAGCACCATCGACGGTAATATAGGGGCTGGAATAATTAGAATAGGGTTTCGGGGCCCATTAAACGATAATAAGGGCGGAGCGGTTTTTTTTTTCCTAGGTCTGGCCCTCCCCGGCTTGCTTTCCTAAGTCTGGCCCACTGGTTGTGGTTGCCAACAGCGGCAACTGCGGTCTTTGCTGCATCAAGCTATTGGGGAACTAGAATTTGACGGCTCTGGTTTTGCTTCTGTTTTGCATGAAGCTATTGGGGAACTACAACTTGCGGAGTCTGATTTTGCTTGTGTTTAGCATGAAGCTGTTGGGGAACCACAAGTTGCAGGGTTCGGTTTTCTTTGTGTTTTGCATGAAGCTATTGGGGAGTTCGCATTTGCAGGGATCGGTGTTGCTTGTGTTTTGCATCAAGCTATTGGGGAACTACAATTCGCAGGGTCTTCTTCTGCTTGTGTTGTGCTTCAAGCTATTAGGGAACTAGAATTTGCGGTGTGTTCTTCTGCTTGTGTTTTGCATGAAGCTATTAGGGAACTACAATTTGCGGTGTGTTCTTGTGCTTGTGTTTTGCATCAAGCTAATGGGGGAACTACAATTTGCGGGGTCGGCTTTGTTTGTGTTTTGCATCAAGCTATTGGGGAACTACAATTTGCAGAGTCTTTTATTGTTTGTGTTTTCCATCAAGCTAATGGGGAACTAGCATTCGCAGGGTCTGGTTTTGCTTGTGTCTTGCATGAAGCTATTGGAGCACTACAATTTGCAGGGTCGTGTTTCGCGTGTGAATATTGCGGGATTACAATTTCAAATCTTCTGTCTTGTGTCGTTGTTTTTTGGTGTCGTTGTCGGCATCCTCGTCATCGTCGTCGTCATCGTCCTCGTCGTTGCTGTCGTGGTAGTTGTTCTTGTCGTTGTTGTTGTTTTTGCTGTTGCTGGTGTTCTTGTTGTTGTTGTTGCTGTTGTTGTTGTGGTTGTCGTGGTGGTTGTGGTTGTGGCTGTTGCTGTTGTTGTTGTTGTTGCTGTTGTTGTTGGTGGTGGTGTTGTTGTTGTTGTTGTTTGTTGTGTGTTGCTTGTTGCTTGTTGCTAGTTGTGTTAGTTGCTAGTTGTGTTAGTTGCTTAGTTGTTAGTAGTTAGTTGCTAGTTGTTAGGTGTTAGTTGTTCGTTGCTAGTTGTTAGTTGTTGGTGTTAGCTGTTAGTTGTCAGTCGTTGGTTGATATTTGTGAGTTGTGAGTTGTTAGTTGTTTCTTGTTAATTGTTAGTTGTTTGCTGCTTATTGTTCCTTGTTTCTTGTTTGTTGTTTCTTGAAAGGGGTCAGGGATCAAAAAAAATAGATAAGGATCGAAAAAATTAAATGGAAAGATCAAAAAAATTAAAATAAGGATCAAAAAAAATTAAATCGCTCAAAATACAGCAATTCCTGGGGCAGAGGCATCAAAAAAAAGAAAATAAGGATCAAAAAAAATTAAATCACTTAAAATACAGCAATTCCTAAATTTTTCCAAGGGAAAACACTGTTTTCCTAGGGATTTTCTTTTGTTTCCTTAGGATCTGTTTGGTTTTTCCTCTGGAAAACACGATATTCCTGCGGGTTCCGTTGTATTTCCCTAAGTTTGATTTTTCGTAGGAAAAAGCCTATTTTCCTCTTACCTATGGCGTTCGTGTCATTTCTTCAGGTTTTCAGAAGGACAACATATGGTTGTTCCTCGGGAAAATCAAATTTTCCTTACAATTTCACATTTAGGACGGATTTCCTGTTGTAGCTGTTGCTGGTATTCCGCTTCATCATCTATCTTAAACACGCCCCTCATTTGGCGATTCTGGTTCAGCACGTATCTACAAGGGCGGAGACGCCCTCATTTGCTGGGTTTCAAAAAAAGGCATATGCTTCAAAGCAACCCTGCACGGCTTAGAACAGCGGGGGGGTTGGGGGGGGGGGCAGCCCCCCCCATTTGCAGAGACAGCGTTCACATGATGGGCTTCGAAAACACTCTTTGGATCAAGCTTGCACGTCTCGAAAAGCGCGGCGGCGGGTGTTTTGTTCTTCCGTGCCTGTTCGTGTCTCTTCTTCCGTTAGCATTCTAACCTATATATATATATATATATATAACATAGTAAACCAGAAGAACGACATAAGATGGTTTGACAACACAAAAATGGTGTGACATTTTCTGACATAACAGAACCTTGCTTCTTATAGCATATAATAGCATACCTAAAAATACAACAGTACAATATAACGGAAGATGACATAGAACAAAACAACATCTTAATTTATAGTGTAGTACATTGTAACATAGTACAATACAGTGTGTATATTTACAACATAATATGTAGTATATTTTATAACATTAGGTTACATTATGTTATATTATGTTACGGTACATTACGATATTATGGTAAATTCGATTGGACTATGTAGTATCCTGTTGCTTGTATCTTTGTTTCTGTGATTATTTCATATTATTTCTCTTTCGTCTTTTCCAACTTTGCTTTTTTATTCTGGACTTTCTTTCTTTCGCTCGTTCATTTCTTTTCTTTCTTTCTGTTGTTCTTTCTTTGTTCATCTCATACTCCCTTCCTTTCTTTCTTGCTTTCTTTCTGGTTGATTTATTTCGTTCTTTCTTTGGCTCGTTCTTTCTTTCGTTCTTGCTTTCGTTCTTTCTTTAGTTTTGCTTTCGTTCTTTCGTTCGCTCTCTCGTTCTATCTTTCTTTCTTTCTGTTTTCCTTTCTTTCGTCCTCTTTAGATACAGCAATTTTTGAATTTTTCCCAGGGGAAACACTGTGTTCATACGGATTCGTTTTCATTTCCTGAGGATTTGCTTGGTTTTTGCTCGGGAAAACACGATTTTCCTACGGATTCCGTGGTATTTCCTTACGTTTATTTCTTTAGTTCTTGCTTTCGTTCTTCCTCTTGTTTTTGCTTTCGTTCTTTCGTTCTCTCTCTCGTTCTTCCTTTATTTCTGTCTTTCTTTCTTGCTTTTTAGATACAGCAATTCTTGAATTTTTAAAACAAAATGAAGCGATAGTCTTACGTATCGTTCTTCTTTATTTTCCGCGTCTTTCTTGTTCCTTTAACTATTTCCGTTTTTCTTTCTTAATTTATGGCCTTCCGTTCTTCTTTATTTCTCTGTTTTTGTTATTTGGTTATTTCTTCATTGTTTGTTTTGTTTTTGTTTCTAACTCTCTTTGGTTCTTTCCTTGTGTTTTTTCTTTCCTTATAGCTTGCTTTATTTACTTAGTTCTCTATTTTTGTTTTCTTTCTTTACTTGTAGCTTTCTGTATTTACTTTTTTCTCCATTTCTTGCATGGCTTTCTTTCTTTATTTCTTTATTTCTTTCGTTCTTTCTTTTGTTCTTTATTTCTTTCTTTCTTTCGTTGTTTTTTATTTGTTTATTTCGTTCTTTCTTTCGTTCTTTCTTTCTTCCTTGCTTTCTTTCTTCCTTCCTTTCTTTCTTTCTTTCGTTCTTTCTTTCCTTCTTTCTTTCCTTCTCTCTCTCTCTGTCTTTCTTTCCTTCCTTTTTCCCCTTCCTTTCGCGGATACCCGTTTAATTTTTTTTGATCCTTATTTAATTTTTTGATCCTTATTTAATTTTTTTGATCCTTATTTAATTTTTTAACCCCTATCCCTTTCTTGATTTGTTGTTTGTTCTTTCTTGTTTCTTGTTAGTTGTTTGTTGTTAGTTGTTTGCAGGTTTGAGGGTTCAGGGGTACAGGACCAGGAGAGACCAGGGGACCAGGGAACCAGGGACCAGGGGACGACCAAAGGACCAGGGGACCAGGGACCATGGGACCAGACCTAGCAAGGCCCCCCAGACCAGGCCAGACCTAGGAAAAAAAAAACAGTGGACCCGATAATAAGGAGCCCCCAAAATAGTGCTGGTAATTATTTAGGCTCCTATAGTAACAGCCGCGGTACAGTACCCGCCATTGCCAGTCAGTGTCCTCATAATTCTGCTCTAGCAGGTCATCCTCAACGCAACAGTGAAACCAGGGGCCCCAGGCCTTTCCATCCCATGCTCTCTCGTGCTCGTAGCTTCTGGGAAATCAGCTCCTGCTCTTTGGCATAAACCTGACAGCTGGAGGCTTTCAAGGGAGGCTGTACGCTGAGGTCCAAAAAAACATCCGCGTCGAGTCAGGACTGAAGCCGCCTAGGCAGACCTTGAAACATGGGTCTGAGTTAGGTACTGCCCAAATACACTAAGAGTCTATAATAGGGCTACTACTAAGGTCCTAATACATCTATAAATACTATGAATCTTATTCAACTATTACTGAGTGGGGGCCGTACCCAAGGTCTGAGGGTACCTGGGCTGAAAGGCAAACTCCGGCTCATCGCTCGCAAGGTCTCGACTTTCCGGATGCTGTGAACCCAAAGGCTCCATGTACCTCTATAGTAGCTAAAGAGGCCTTAAAAGGGTCCCTATACAGGTACTTTAAGGTCTAAGTATTATGTGGCTACATGGAGCCTTAGGGCAAATCCATCGACGCAAAGCTACGGCCTCGTCCCACGACAAGTAGCTGTCCTTCACAGTACACTGGAGAATTGACGATCTGAGGAATCTGCGCCTTGACATTTCATGGCTGCAGAACCAACACCGGCAAAAACAAAGTCTTAAACAAAAGCACCACGGCCACCAACGCCACCGCTGTCAACAACCAGCAGCAGCGGCACCACCACCACCGCCACCGCCACCACCACCACCACCACCACCACCACCAACAACCACCGACACCACCCACCACCACCACCGCCGCCACCACCACCACCACCACCGCCACCACCACCACCACCAACACCACCACCACCACCACCACCACCACCGACACCACCAACCACCGACACCGCCGCCACAACCACCATTCGAAACAAGAACAAGAAGAAAAAGAAGACCAACAACAACAACAGGAGCAGCAAGGACAATACAAGAAACATAACAAGAGCAAGACAAGCAATAACAACAATAGTAACAAAAATGACAATGATACAACTGTGGGCACGTCTGCCGCTACGAAGGGCGAGTCGATCGTTTGCCTACGGTGTGAGTGCCAAACCTCGGTTTGTGCACCGAGTTGTCGTGCAGAAAACGATGTTTTGCGAATTGTTTGTTTATGGCTTCTGTCTTGCTGCGTTGATGTGTGTTCAGGAAGTGTGGCAGATACCATTGTTTTCGTTGATTGTGTTGTTGAGTGTTTTTGTGTGTTTTTAAGGTCTCATTCATTTTGTAGTGGGCCGTCGGGCCTTGCGTGACTGCGAAACTTCGAGCATGTTCCAGCATCTTCCTTCTTGGTTGAAGGGGATTGCTATGTAATTAGTCCAGATGTGATATTTCCTGGGCTGAGGAGATCGTTATGATGATGTTGACGACAACGATGACGATGACGATGACTTTGTTGCTCTGGGCGAAACAGTGCACATGCCGAAGAAACCGTTGCTCCAACGCGAAAGACTCGAGGTTTTAAAGTCACTATACGAAATTCACATCGAAAAAATCGCAAGAGGAAGATAAGACCAAACAAGGCTGCCAGTCATGACTGCAAAACTTACCCAAACCGCAACACGGATTTCAACGGAGAGTAAAGCTTGTGTCACACTGCCTCCGCCGTCATCTCAATACACATACATGATCATGCATGCAGCCTGCAGATATGCATCACCAGGCAGAGAATATGCAGAACTCGACCATGTCTACACCCAGCACGACAGTGAGTACCCTCATGTCTTGCTGCAGCGCTCCTGGGTGGAGCTTGTCAGGACCTGTTCACTGTCACAGCAAGCCAGATTGAACAGTTGTGGCAGGTCTGGCTATGTGCGCAACCTGCGCGCGTAAGCCTGTTTCACACTCTAACGTTGTCGTCAAAAGGCAGGACGGAAACCAATGGAAAGAGCTACGACGTCGTGGGGTAGAACTACAAGAGGCAGTAGCATTAACCACAGTCCAATTCCAGTAGTAGCAGTAGTAGTAGTTGTTGTTGTAGTCGTCGTCGTCGTGGCAGGACTACTAGTAAAAGCAGGAATAGCAAAAGCAGAAGTAGTACAGGTGGAATAATGGTGGTAGTAGCAATCGTTGCAAAACGGCGACAACTGCTACTACCAGGACTATGACTACGACTAAGACTGCCATTAACACCAAGGACGCCACTACCACTATCGACTGTCGCCATCATAACGATAAGAAGTAAGCCTAATTTCACTTTTAAACTAGTACTCCCAGTACCACTGCACTACTACTGCACCACTACGAGTGCTACTACTACTACTACTATTACTACTACTACTACTACTACTACTACTACTACTACTACTACTACTACTACTACTACTACTACTACTACTACTGTTACACCCACTCCTACTCTTGCCATTGTCAACCACGGCAGAGTGGCAGAAAGTGCCGCAGCTGCAAGAGGAGCGGACATAGCCAACAGCAAGAACCATTGTATGTATGATCGACATGAAGTTGCAACGGACAGATGTAGTTGCTTCCTTTGTGGTGGCTACTGCGTCCTTGCGATGGAAGCCCGCTGTAGACCAGGCCTCCTCGTACTCTTCGATTGCATCCCTGTCCGAGCTTTCGGAGCTGTCGGTGGTTGAGGGCTCGGGCTGCAGCAGCATTGATTGGTTACTTCGGGTCAGGGCCAGGGGTAAGGACAGGGTGCCGGGCCTTTCTGCTGCAAGACTTCAGCAGACGATGATGGCAAGCTTGGCGTTTGAGCTAAGGATGGTTGGTGTCTACCGACGGTCACAAGTTGATGGTTTACTGGATGCCGAATGGGGCGGGCAGCGGGCTTTGTGATTGATACTGTTGTCGCCGTTGTTGCCATCGGCGCAATGAAACTTACGACATTAATGCTCGTGTCACGGCAACAACTGCCCACGACAACTCTGTCAACCACCGCCAAAACATTCTCTTCTGTTTACATTCGTTGGTGTATCAGGCCTCTTCAAGCCACGGCCTCAGAAATGACAAGCCACCGAAGTTGTGCACTGCGAGGTATCACGGCAGCAATGGGGGTAGTTAGCAACAACAGCAGCAGCAACAGCACAGTTAAAGAAGACTAGTCGCCGTCAAAGGCGGCAGCGTAATACAGTGGCAGTTTGTGAATCCCTCGGCCGCGAAGTTCAAAAACCCAAATCCGAAGTCCTAAGCCCTAAGCCCTTCACTCGTTGAAGGGAGATCTTACGTATATATATATATATATATATATATGTATATAAATATATATATATATATATATAGATATATGACTACTAAACCCTGAACCCTAAGTCCTCCGGGCCTCACGGCCTCCTTCCAGGCCCCACGAATGTGTCGAAGCTCGAGCTCTTCCTGCTCCTGCGGATCTTTGGGGCTCTCGGCGTTCGGTTTCGGGTTTAGGGTCCTCGGTTGTAGCTTTGAGGTTCATGGCTAGCTCTTTGCAAGATGGAGGATTCTTGACTGGGGATTTGAGGGTTCAGGCACCATGTATGCTCACCTTGTCACATCGGCCCCGAAATCTTGGGCTTAGGGCTTAGGGTTTAGGGTTTAGGCCCCAAAATCTGTGAACTGGGGGCATCCAGACCTTGAGCCGCCCACACCTCGCAACACCTCCGAATGCTGCAGATACTGCTACAGCTTGGTACGCGTGCCGTTCCTACAAGTACGACTGTTACGAAGGCTCGTGCGCGGCTGCTGATTGTTGTCGATCATCCTGTTTTGATTAGGGTTTCATCTGTTTTCTGCTTGCAAGTGGCCGTGGCTTTCGGTTGATGCTCTGCTAAAATCTTTCACCCGGCATTCCACTCTCCATCCCTTCCGGGGTATATCGCTTGGGTTGAGATGTTAGGGCTTGGGGCCTTAAGGTTGAAGGCTTCGGGCCTAAGGGTTTGGGATTTTGGGGTCTGGGTCTTGGGGTCTATGGGCCCTGGACAGCTGTATCTGCGGCAGCACTGTAGGAATGTGCTACAAGCGGGGCCTTCATAATTAGAATAGAGCGTTGGCCTTGGGCGATATTGCAATATCTATAGATAAATAAATAGAAATGCATAAACAGATAACTAACTTGAAAAAATAATTGAAGGCATCTATACAATTATATAGTGTATATGTATATATGTATATGCAACGTATACATATGTACATATATATATACACACACACACATATCGCTTCGTTTCCGAACCCTATTAAAGAAGAGCATGACTAGTTGCCTAGGCCCTATATTGAGCGAATCTGGCTCGGTGCTGTTGCCGAGGGGCGTTTCTCTTTCCCAGTGTCTAAGGTATTGCCAGGCTTCTTACAGGAAACTTGTAGGGTTTGCTTGGCTTATAAGTTGCAACCTATACAACTCAAGCCGAAACCCTGTACAACAGCATAAATAGCGTCATACAGGGTTCCAAGCTGAAGGAAACCCTCTGCCTCAAAGGTCTGCAGATCGTCGGCGGTGAGCCTCTTGAAGTTGTTGTGCGACCCGGACCCGGCGCTAGCGAGGCGGCGGGAGGACATGCCTTTTTTATTCGGCTTCAGGGTTTCTTGGGGCTGGGAAAGCGGGGTGAGGGTAAAGGTTCCTTCAGAGCGAGTCGGGGGATGCTGGCTACATGTCATCGGGCTCGTCCATGATTGGGATGGCAGTAAACCTTCGCAGATGAAACGTTCCGGTTCTTCTGTAGATCTCAGTTGCTTAGGAGTTGTTCGGGGCATGCTCTGCATAACCCTGTTTGGTGATCCTCTGTTTGCGCATGGTCACCCGTGTCACTGTGCACCAGTGCCGAAACGGCTGCAAAAGGATCGCTGCGCAACGAACACTTTCACGGTATTTGCTGCACCAGGGCGTTTGGGCTTCGGGCTTTGAGGGTTGGGAGTTTAGGATCTATACAAGCTGTTTGATGATTGATGAGGCTGAGTGATTCGAGGGCTTTTGGGCTTTCAAGGAGCTCTATACGTCGGGGAATTCTGTTTGGATACAGGGCTGGCTTCTTTCTAGCGTTATGTGACTGGCTGAAGGCTGCGGACACCGGAAACCTTGGAGCAGCATCCAACACACGGAGCCTTAATGATCAGAAGAGGTTCTGTTTAAGGGTTACCTATACGGGTTCTATCATACAAGGGCCTAAAGAATCTGCTTACAATGGGGGGCATATTACAGTAGACGTATATCAAGGAATCCCAAGGATTAGTACTTCTTCAAGCGTCTATATTATGTTAACCGACGAGGAACATGGAGGAACGACACCGATCAACTCGCGCATGCTTTTGTTCGAACGACTTCTGCGCTGGCATTGGGCAAAATACATGCGGTATCTGTCTACATTGCATGGGAAACAGGCCATTCTTCTTCATGATGGAACACGAACAACGCTGGCAAACCACTGTCTTTCAACTCTGCAAAAAAGATTTCTAAAGCAAAAGGAGACTAGAACATCGAATTACAGCTTTGAAAGCTTTGGCTCGGCGACGCATGGCCCACGAAAGCCTTGCGCGAAAAGTCCGCCGTCCACTGAGATGATCTGCGCAGGGCCCGGCTTTCAACGTTTAGGGTATAGAGGTTTTGAGTTTAGGGCCGAGTTTCGTAGGCTCTATCTACATGGTCATGTACCCTTCCGGGAGTGGGGTTTGGACCCTCGTAGTTCCAGATTCCAGATCTTGCAGAAGACTGCGCGGTCCAAGATCCTGTTAAAAGCCTTCGGGCTTCTGGAATTCCGGAAAGCTTCAGATGCTTCGAACAAGTCTGCACCTTATAGCTTCAGTTTCATCCCAGACCTGAACATGACCCGCTCCAACAAGTCGAGGCAAATCTCACATACCATCACCCACACCACTGCCAAACCCGCAAGCTACGACATGATACGAAGACAAGAAGTACTCCACAACCCTGTTCCTGTTGGGTGAGGGCCCTTGCACAGGATCCTCCATGTGGCGACAGGCCTGCCCGGTGATGTATGCAGCTGCCGGCATGCCTTTGCTGCATAATCTGTGAGAGGTAGCTCCCGCACTGGCCAGCATGTTGGCGTTAAGAAAGTCATTACATCGTCAGTATGTAGCAATGTAGCCTCCAGCCCTTCACACATGATAGTGAACGCAGCAACAATAGCAAGACTAGCACCAACACCGAAGACGACGACAACAAAAGGCAACATGAACAGCAGCAACTGCAACATCAACAGCAACCGCAGCAGTGACAGCAGTGTACAGTATACACCCCAGCAGCATTGATATCTACTGTAGGCGCTCGTCGTCAGAGCAGCAGCATCAGCAGCAGCAGTGATAGTAGCTGTAGCAGGAGCTGCTGCAGCGGTCATAGGTAGTACAGTAGTACGTTGTTGCTGCTCTAGGCGTGCCACCCCACGAAAGACATCGGATTTCGCGTCCCAAGCCACAAAGGAAGGCCACTGTGCCGGCCGTGTCGTCCGGCTCGCCGAGGCGAGCAAGTGGAGTGGTCTCGGAGGTGTATGCAGGCAAACGTATGTACACACGCACATACCATATATATATATATATATATATATATATATACACAAGTGTGTATACATATGTACATGTGTTTACACATAGAGAAATGTACGAACGTGTTTATTGCAATATATATATATATATATATATATACATGCTTGTGAATTCAAACATGTAAGCATAAACAAGTACACAAACAAATAAGTAAGTGCATAAGTAGAGACCTAGGTTCGCAGATGAGTAAACGCATGTATGCATGCCAACCCATGCATACATAAAAAAGCAAATGCCAAAGGTGTAACCCAGAGAAAATGAATGAACATATGATTGAGTTATTAAGTAACTAAATTTACACACACACAAACACACACAACTGTCTTTGCCTCTTGAACTCTTGAAGCGGGTCCGATCCGAGTCGGCTTTCAGCTGGAAGGGATGCAGGCGTTCCGAGGCATTGGGTATATCGGCGAGGTTTCAATCTAAATCACAGAACCCTAAACATGCGCGCCAGCCACTGCGTCAACAAGCCATCTGAACTTCAGAAACACAATGAGAATACCAATAATAATAATACTAATAATATTAATCATAAATATACATATACACATATATATATATATATATATGTATTCAAGAGAGCTCGACACCCTTCTCCGGGGACCCACGCCCTCTTCACATCCTCGAGCTGCTGTGGGTCGTTGCGAATCTTGGTGTCAGGCGGCTGGGGAATCAAACCGCGGCGAGTTGGGGCTGGCATTATCCTGGGCCGGGCTTAGTCTACTTAGAGGATCATGGGACTTATAATTCCGTGTAACCCCCCGATTACGGTATAACCTTACTTACTCAGTTGACCAAGTTGATCCTCCATATGGGTAGTTGTCAAAACTATGGTTCCTTTTTGGGTACCCTAAATATAAGGTGCCGTACTATAAGAAGGACCCAAACAAGACCCAAGAAAGGGACCATAATTTTGGCAACTACCCATAATATAGAGGGAATCGACAGCGGGGCAAGGCAGCCAGCAAGTCGGCCCATGTCTCTGGATACCCAAAGGCCCCAAAGTAGTTCCTTTTTGGGGTTCGTATATAGGATCATATAAGGTAATCCCAAAAAAGAACTAGTTTGGGGCCTCTGGATAGTGTATACTTTGGCCAGAAAGAAACCGTACAGGAAGCCCTTTGAGGTCCATGAGTGGCCCAGTACCTCCCGTGTGGCCATGTCGGTACATGGACCCTTGCGGAACCTGTCCTGTGTTGAAACAAGATCTGAAAATGTTTGATGGCAGACTCGGAAAGGAAATGCGGGCTCGAGTCCAAAACCCCCGAAACCGCCCCCAAACCGCCCCCAAACCGCAACCCTCAAAGGCACCTGTTTCACCCTGCAAACCCCTGAAACCCACCCAAACAAGCAAGAACATAATGCTATTCGCCTCGGCACCGGCTGAAGCGGTCACAGGTTCCCACAAAGACCCCCTGTTCACCTTCCTCTCAATCCCCTCCCCAAAGCCCCCTTCCGCCCCTACTGCCTGGTGAGCTCATTGACCGGCAAAGCATGCGAAATTTCATGTCCTCCCCTCTGATGGGAGTCCGACACAAAACTTCTCCCTCCACGCTCTAGCACCCAGCCCCCGCTCCTTCCCTTCCCTTGGGATCACTTGCTTCCTTCGTCCCGTTTTGTGCCATTGCAGCAGTGCCTAGCTCATTCGCGCCAAGGGCACAGCGTTTACCATTGGGCCGTACTTTCAGAATGAAAACACCAATACACCCAGATGCCTTGCCTAAGGCCCCAGCAGCTTCCTCCAAAAGTGGGGTTCGCACCATCCAGGGACAGACCTGCCCCAGTCTTTGCACTTCCTAAATGAATATAGGGCTGGAACAAATGCGGGCCGAACCCGCTGTACAAAGCCACTCCTTTCTAAGGGTCGTTGCAACAAGGACGCCACTATATAAGGTGCTAAGGTGCTATCACTTATCCGGGTTTCTTCTTGGAATGCATTGCTGCTGGAAGGTGCGAACTAAGTTTTCCTTTTTGCAAGCGGTCGTGCATGACTAATTGCTGCTGTTTGGGATGAGGGCTTACGGGCTTTGGTGAAGGCTTCATGCTTTAGGGTTTTTGAACTGCGCGCCCCCAGACCTAATATCCCCAAGACCTTGCAACTGCAGTGGACGGTGCAAGAAAAGCTCGGAGTGAAGTCGGAGTGGTGGCGATGCATGCAACAACGGTGATTGAGACTCCAGCGCAGTTCACCCGGATGCCGAGGGGTCCCCATTCACCTCGGTCTGGCATCGTCATAACTCCAGGAATTCATTTAAGTTCAAGGTGGGCACTTCGTGTGAGTACCCCATGGTATGTACAGCTTTCAAGTATAGTCATTTAGGGCGACATTGTTGCGGCCACGTTGCACGCCAACACGCGGGCTAAGTGTGCCACGGCCTGAGACGGGCTGGAATCGCTTTGGGTTTTAGAGGCTCCAACTCAGCCTGAAAATTTGGAACTGCTGTAATTAAAAGTCTGAAGGTAGACTCGACCTCCTGTTCAAGCACATCCTCGGACACACACACACACACATACACACGCACAGACAGTCAGGCACGCACACACGCATATGCACAAACACACACACACACACACACACAAACACACACACACACACACACACACGCACACACACACACACACCAACCACGCAATGTGAAGGGTGGAAGCCACGGGTGCGTGTGACTGCTGTCTTCACCTGTGGTTGAGGTTTCTCAATTCAACTGTAAGATTAGACATCCAAAAAATGGATTGCCTTGCAGCGGCCGCGATGTATCTGAGGCACATATAAGGTTGGATTTCTGCGGATCGCCGAAACGTGAGCTCATATGAGCCTTTCTTGGAGCCTCTGCTCGAACGGAGCCTGCGTCGAGCACGGTCCTGCTATCGACGATCTGGTTTCAAGCAGAGAGGTGCCGACATCAGAAAGTCCAGACAAGGCACGGAGATCGAAGGCGGTCTGTTGTCAGAGATCTTGGCTCCTTTTTCCCTCTTTGTCCAGATTAGCAATTTTTTCCATGTTCTCGATGTGCTGCAGGTACTCTTGCTAGTCGCGATTACCACCATCTTTCAAGTGCTGTCACCGCAAGCCACGTGCACGAAAATCAATGGATCACCTACGTGCACACATTTGCACACATTCACAAGAACAGCAGGAGGACAAACAGACTGAATGAAAGTATAAAACCAGAAGTCAAACCAGCCACATCCAGGAGGCCCTCTGTGACGCACGTTACACCCACTGGAACCAACACACACCGAGTTATTCCAGGCAACGCCCGGTGCCCGAAGCCCCGCCGCTCACGAAGGGAACAAGCACAGCCCTCCGAGGATGCACTCATTTGGAACGTCCTGTGAGTCCTGGGGCTGGCACCGCTTTCGTCATGGCGTAGACAGACCCTGTGCCGGTACTCCGCACACCGGCGGCGCTGGAGATGTTGACCTTACGATGTGATGATCGGCTTAGGAAGCGATAGCAGTCAGGGCAGTCATTATACACAGAGCTTCAAATGAAAACCACCCAACGCCACAAGCAGCTGCACCGAAAGTAAAGTCATTGTGTGATGCTTTTCGTCTTCCTCGTCCTCCTGGTCTTCGTCGTCGATGTCATCGTCGCAGCTGCAGCTGTCGGTGCACTCTTGGTCCGATGGACATTATGATGGCTGTTCGCCTTGGTAGAAGCAGTATCAGCCTGTCTTAGTGTTGGGATTGGAACTGATATGATTCGCTTGTTCTTGTACAGTTGTATGGCGAGTTTTCGTCGTCGTCGCTCGAGTGGCTGTAACATCAGTAGCAGTGGTCATTTCACCCTAAAGGTTAGGAGAAGGAGCACACGAAAAACGAGAGAGCACACCGATCACCGAGTCTCTTACGTACCACGACGCCGTCCAACCTGAAACCTAGCAACCCGAAGCCCGAAGCCTAATTATAAAGCATGACCGTCACTCACATCTCGAAATTTGCCAATGCCCAAGGTCGAAACCCTCAACGTTAGGGACACCCCACCAAGCCGCGACAGACGCCCGTGATGAGCGCTCCAGCATGGGCTTGAACATCTTACCTTGGGCATGACTTGTCTAGTCAATACCAGAAGGATAGGCCGATGAGTAAGTCTGCTACGGCTCTGGCGTATGCAATATCCAGCTTTGCCAACGTCATCTCACTATGTAATTCGGGCCTACGATTGCCTGTCAAAGTCTGTGTTCGTACGGTTTTAAACCCCATGTTTGTCCCACCAGCCTTCTGGTAAGAGGCGGCTTGACACTTGGGCTTCGGCCGGATTTTCTGCAACAGCAACATTCGCACACGCCGTGTTAAACGCGAAAAGTCATAGAGTCACGATGTTGAGAACCGTGACAACGAAGGATACTATAGCGTCCGCCGATTGAAGCATCGATGCTCGATGGGATTTTTGCGCGAGATATTCTGCTTCCGCTTCTTCTTTTGCTCATTATGTTCCTGTGCTGGGCATTTCTGCCAGGAATCAGGAATTGCAGTTAATGCAGCTTCGAAGGTACTTGGGCTCTGGACATGTTTTGCAAAGCCCTTGTTCAGATCTCAGCCTTTCCTCTGCCACTCTGCTCCCAAGGCACACAGAAACCAGCAGGAGTCGAGGTTAGTGCGCATCATGTTGTAGTACTCCGCCTCAGTGGCCTTCCGCGTGAGCTCAAGGAACCCGAGAGCTCGCAGGGCACGGCCAAAACCTAGAGTCGAAAACCTCTGAAGCGAAGACAAACTCATGGGTCCGAAGGCCGACAGAGCGATCTGAAGAGGTGCGCAGTCCTCGTGAATGGGCTTTCGGACATTTGTGCCGACATTGTTCACAAGGCCATCCAGGGAACCGCCCCAAAGCTTCTCCACATATGCAACAAGCACCTGCCCAGGCAGACATGACTTCTACTGCTCCCTCAAGCACGTACGAACATATGTACGTATGAGTGATTGCGAATAATGTTGCTGCCAGACTCAGTCCCCAGAATCCTTAGAAACACCGCCACCGTTTTGGGTCGGCCTACTGCTTTACAGGACCTTAAGCACACAGCTACCTCTGTGCCTCATGTTCAACTCAATGCCGTGCTGGTGGCACTGATGGAAACGTACAAAGCTGCTGAAATGCCACATATGTGCTACGTGCGCATCGATGTAAGCCGGCATGACTCCCCATCGATATGTTTGCATCAGTTGGGTAGCGTCTTGAACCATCCGCAACTTAAATGGACGGTAGAAGCACTAGTATCAGCAGTGCAGAGCAGTATTAGTAGTATTAGTAGTATTAGTCGTCGTAGTAGTAGTAGTAGTAGTAGTAGTAGTAGTAGTAGTAGTAGTAGTAGTAGTAGTAGTAGTAGTAGTAGTAGTAGTGGTCGTAGTGGTAGTAGTAGTAGTAGTAGTAGTAGTAGTAGTAGTAGTAGTAGGAGGTAGTAGCAGTAGTAGTAGTAGTAGTAGTAGTAGGAGTAGAAGTAGAAGTAGGAGTAGTAGTAGTAGTAGTAGTAGTAGTAGTAGTAGCAGTAGTAGTAGTAGTAGTAGTCGGAGGAGCAGTCAACGTAATCGGACTTGGTGAAGGAGCAGGACTAGCAGCAGTGAATAGTGGAAGCAGCAATAACAGCAGCAGCAAAAGTAGTAGCAGCAGCAGTGGCACTAGCGGTAGCAGTAGCAGTAGAGCAGTAGCAGTAGCTATAGCAGTAGCCGGGCCGTAGCAGTAGCGGTAGCGGTAGCAGAGGGAGGAGTAGTAGCAGTAGTAGCAGTAGCAGTAGGCAGCACTAGCACTAGTGCTGGCATTAGCAGACTAGCACTGGCACTGGTACTGGCACTGGTACTTGTACTGGTACTTGTACTGGTACTAGTAATACTAGTAGTCGTAGTAGTGGTAGTAGTAGTGGTGGTAATAGTGGTGTCACTAACAGAAGCAGCAGCGGCAGGGTCTGCGGCAGTGGCAGGAGCGGAAGCAATGGCAGTCATGCAGACGTACATACATACATGCAAGCATAAATACGTAGATGCATCCATACATACATGCAGGCATACATACATGCATACATACAGGCACATGCACATACGTACACAAAAGGAAAGACACAGGCACATACCACCTGCCTACACATGTACATAAAGACGAACATACATACATACATATATACATACATACATACATGCATATGATGTGCATGAATACTAACTTACTGTACTTGAAGAGGTTCATGCATTCACTGGGTATGAATGAAGAAGTCTAGCTCTGTGTAAACGCAGGTGGCCTCACGTCCTTCCTTCGTGGAGATGTCGGCAGCAACGCCGGGAATTGGGCGCTTCATCAGTGTTGTCAGAGATGCGCAGGTCTCCTGTGGAAGTTTAAGGTTCAGTGATGTTCGGGCTGTAGGATTTACTGTACAGACTCGACTAGAGTTAACATGAACGTTTAAGGTGTTTTGATTATGGTGCAGGGCTTTGGGACCAGCATTCAGGGTCTAACGGCTACCGGGGCCCACTTGCAGCATACAGTCACGACATTCATAATGTGCAGCATGGCACTCTATGTCAATGGTAGCACACCGTAGGACACACAAAGTTGATTCAGCCACATCTGAAGCCTAGGTGTGCACACATGTTGCACAGGGGCACGCAGTAGGCAGGCAGGCAGGCAGGCGGGCAGACAGATAGTCGAACAAACAAACAAACAAACAAACAAAGACACACACCACAAAGAACAACAACAGCCCAACAAGCACCACAACAACCACAACAAAAATAGCAGCAGCGGCAGCGGCAGCGGCAACGACAACGAGCACGACCTCAACAACAGCACAAGCAACGACAACAACAGCAGCAGCAACAATAACCTCAACAGCAACAGCAACACCAACAGCAACAGCAACAACAACAACAACAGCAAGTATAAACGCAATCATATCAACAAAGCCACCACCACCACAACAAGAACAACAACCACAACAAACACAACAACCACAACCACAACCACGACAACAACAACCACGAGAACCACAACCACAACCGTAGCCACAACAGCAGCAGCAGCAGCGGCAACGACAACAACCCCAACCCCAACCCCGACAACGACAACAACCACCAAGACAATCACGACAGCGACGGCAACGGCGACGGCAAGGGCACGGGCAGCAGCAACAGCAACAGCAACCACAACTACCACAACTACCACATCAACAGCCACAACAGCCACAACAACCGTAACAATAATCACAGCCACCACAACAACATAGGTATACACAGCAGTCGCCTGGCCTCCACCTCGGCGGGTTTGTGCGACATGATAACCTTTGCATCGGATCATCAGGTCTCTAAAACTCGTTGAGAACCAGTTTCGGAGCGAAGACACAGCCCCAACGATGTCACTGGCATTTTCTGGGATTGCTTGGCCCGACTGGTGAAAGAGAACTACTGAAGCTGTGAACGACATGCAGCCTTCAGACCTGTTGGCAACCGCACCTCTGGTGTTCGGACTGGGACGGGCCTACAACTAATCTGACATGTTCTAGCCTTCTTCATCGCTGTTCTCTCCTTCTTGCGCAAATTAAACCCTACCTAATGCCGATTTTCTGTCGCCCTAAGACCTTAACACCCAAGCCAAATACCCCAACAACCTAAACCCAATGCTAAAGGTCTAGCACCCTAGTGCCTAAAGACCTAAACCTTCATCAACACTTCATGAAACCCATAAACGCGTATTGAAAGAAAGCCCTAGCATGAAAGCCAATTAGACGAAACCCTAGCATGAGCCACGTATCTACAAACAACAGAATCGGAACCCAGTGACAACGGCCTAGTAACTCAGCCTATGCACAGCCCTGCATGCACCCTCAGGACCTTGATGTAGGATCAACCTGATAAGGAACCCGAGGACTGATATAGGTCGATATTCAGGCTTCTCTAATGCATAACCCTGTAACCCTTTACAGTACTCATTAGATGAAGCCTTATAGCCCGCCCTTATGGGGCCCTCTAAAGGAACCCGTTATAACAACTACAACTGCCACCTTAAACCCTAAAACCCCAAATCTATAACTGACACCCCTTGTTCCCGGCGAGCGACGACCTCCGCGCCGAGCTGCAGCATCTCCTTGGCCACGGCCAATCCGAGGCCTTGGGTGGAACCTGCAGAGAGGCTTTAGGGCGTACTTAGAGGTTCATGAGACTTAGCAACTAGGGTTATACTTAAGGTAGCTACACTTATATGTACTTATAATCCCAACTAGGGTACTTATAACTGTACTTATATTAAGTCCCATGAACCTCCAAGTACGGATTACGGTGTACCACTGAAGGGTGTAGGGTTTAGGGTCTAGGGTTTAAGGTTTGGGTTCGAAACTTCGGTGATAGTCGTCTCACTCCACCCCTTGTAGGAGTACTAGCAACTACTGGTAAAAATCATAGCAAAGACCTGAAAGTTAATCATGACGACTACTACTAATGAGAACCAGTACTGGTAAGGAAACACCACAGTCCACAGTAATACGACAAGCAAAAGTCATATCAGACCATGGTAGTAGAAACTAGCAACCACAATACTAGCAGTCTCAGCTTCAACACTAGCAACCAGAAATGTATATGTATATATATATATATACAACACTATGTATAACTATTATTGGTGGTATCAAGCAAAGACGGCACATTTGAGCAGCCGGCCGGCCTGTCACGACAGCCTTGAAGCCATTAAGCGACCACCTGGATGTCGAAGCCATGGCGGTGGCGCGCGATGTCAAAAGCAGTCCAAGCTACAAAGCTGACTGAACAAGCTTAGCCTTACAGAAGGTGGCAGATCTTTTCTTCCTCAAGCTTGTGGCCTTCCTGCAGCTTGGAGCCAGAGTCAGCCAGAACTTACTGTCGGACGCAAGAACGCTGACGCAGGCTCCTTTGAGGCACAGCCAGGCCGACTATGAGGACTTCACGCAGTCGGGCTGCCGGAAGTCATACTTGACAAGGGAAAGCTATGGGGATTCCTGGCATATTGATCTACGCAGGAACTCTTTTGGTTCTTTGCCGGCTGCATCAGAGAAAGTCCGCTCCTTTCGAAGCCTTTGGGAGTGGGTTTTGTGAGTTATGGGGTGCTGTCAGCATCACCAAAGCGTCCAGGCCCTCTGGGCCCATGGAAGCAGGCCGAAGGGGAAGCGAGGCACCAACGGGGCACCCAGGTTTCTGTAGCAGTCCACGGTATCTTTGCATGGCAGCTTTGAAGTTCTCGTGGCAGGGCAAGTAGAGGCCGTACTTCTTGCTGAGGGGTCGGCACTTGCTGAAGTGCTCCCATGCGGCCCCCTGCTGTGTTTGTTCGAGGTTTCGCCTGGCTATCGCCAGATCCGTGTACTTGTCCTGCATGGTGTGAAGTGCGGCAGACATCTGATCCCTTGCAATCTCGAAGCGTCGCATGCCCTCCGCAAATTCCGCCTCACCATCTGGCTTCTTTGCTAGCAGTGTCTGCGCAGAGTACTCATCCAGGTTGTTCCAGAACTCCTGCCCGTGACAAAGATGCATGACAAACCGATCGGAACCGACAAATTGTTAGAGTAGATGTGCATGAGCATCTGTCGATGCAAGTGTGACACTGAGCTTGGCGCTCCAACTTTACCCAGAAGCTTCGCTCACACTCCAAATCAGGTAGACACAGAGCCACATCCAGCATGCTCATGACACGATCCAACCGCGAAGCAACCAATGTTATTGCGGCAGTCGCGCTCGACATGGACCAAGAACCTTTGGAGACCTTGCTAGAGCAATTGCTTCCATATGGGAGTTTCACCCTAAGTAGTGGAATCCTTATTATAAGGACCCCAGATAAGGCACCCCTACTGTTGATGATATAAATCCTGCATTACCTTAAGGACCCTAAACTATGGGAATTACCGTCTATTCCTTATTATGCGTCATGCAGGATATATATATATATATATATATATATATATATAGACACATATATATATATATATATATATATATATCATCAACCGTATTTTACGGAAACTCCCATATGTTGTACAAAAGGACAACATCGCGACGACCGCTCCTAAACCCCGCGGCACCAGACCTTCTCCAAGTCTTAAACCCCGACTGAGTCAATTTGAAACAGCCCTTATTGTTGTGTGGCGTTTGGTTTGTTATGCTGCGAAAGATAGCACTTCAGGAGTTCTGTTCCAGCCGAATCCAACTTTTGGAAAGGAGCCTGGAACATACCAACGACCTCTGCGCGCGCCGTAAACCTCAAGCATCCACCATGCGCGGCGCCTTGTCCCCTTGATGCAAGGTGCTCTTGAACACGGGCGGGTATGTGCAGGAGCATCCTCAGGAGAAGGCTCAGGCTTCAGGATTTAGTGAAATTGGTGGTTCTGGCAATACAGTATTAGTATGAACTGAAACTGAGCCGCAAGCGTCGGTTTCCACTAGCCATGGCGCTTGTAGGGACCCTGATGATGGCAATCATATACTTACTACTTGGCTTTTATGATTCAGTATAGGATGGTCAGGTCCTGGTGAATTTGTACAGGTGTTGGTCTTCTGAGATTCACAATCTTGCCGTCCAATTCCCCAGCAACCCTGCTAGGATATTGAATTTCTGTCGGGATGCGTGCCCAACCTGACATCCTGCGGCCCGCTCACTTGCCCCATTCACTAACCTTTGTTCGCCCACCGACTCAAGTTCCGAACCAGCCGGGCAAGTGAGGAAAGTTAGGCAAGTGGAGGACTACGCTTGTTTTTTCCAGGAGGCAAGAGGTGCAAGCGAGGAAAGCAGGGGAAAAAAAACAACCTTTCGACCACCAAGCGAGGCAAGTGGAGCAACAGCAAACAGTGGATCCCGCTGTTGCTCGCCATGAGCAAGTCCGCATGCACGACTAGCATCTTATGAGAAGGTGCCCATCTCTGCGTATTGAAAAATGGCCAGCTTGTATCTCAAATATATGTTTCTGAGAAGGAATCAATTTCGAACTTCTGTATACATACATATATATATATATATATATATACACACGCATACATATGTGGCCCTACAGATATACACACACACATCCAGTACAGACATACATATGTACATGTACATATATGCATACATCTATTCATATATGTATATACATGGATACCATCGGGAATGCTTAAGTTTGCCTCTTCGGGCTGCTGTCGAGCCGCTGTTGCCCACGATGTCCACGCCGGGTATCTCGCCCCCGGGGTCCTCGGCCAGGCCGTCGACCTGCAGGGTCTCCGCACAAACCCAGACCTCCCAAGATCCCTTTATTGAAGGAAAATACACATATGATATAACACAAAATGGTATAACACAATATACCGTTATTATATTATATATATATATACACACACACACCTTAAAATATGGGAGGACGGACCCCTACTGTAATTTGTTTAAGGTATGTTCCTTAATTAAGGGATACTTGGAAGGTCTGGGAAGCTGATCACCCTTCACACTTTGAAAAGAAGTACTTACCCAACCCAGCTTTGGACGAATACAACTTAAGATGCAAAGAAACTATAAGGGAGTTTCCGAAAATTAGGGGTACCTTATTTGGGGTCCTTATAATAAGAGTCCTACTATTTAGGGTACTATATTAGGGCCGCTTTTTTCGGAAACTCCCATAACTTCATCTTGAGCACCCTGTAGTGGCCTGACCCCAAGATGAGACCTCGTTCTTGGGGGTGGGCTTGGAGGTTCATGGGAATTACCTAAACCCCCCAAAGTAGGTCGCTAAAATAATGGCCCAATACCTATGCAAGGCTATTATTCTACATACTTTTGGGGTCCAGGCAGTAACTACTTGAAGGGCTCCTCAAAAGGCTTCAGAGACGCAGGAAGACGGGGCGAGGAATTACAAAGGTACTAATGCTTGGAGGTTCATGGGACTTAGTAACGACAGCTATAAGTACCTTAACTGGGGTTATAACTAGCTATAGGTATAGCCCATGAAGCTCTAAGGGGGCTTGTTTTTGGGACCGTTGGGAGCAGTACGCACGCTCGGGTGCGGTGCAGAGGATCAAGCTGACTAGTGATCTGCATCGACAGTATGGTGCCTTTCCCAGCCTAGATCATCACCCTTTGCAGGTTCTATGCTTATTGACTTCCCCTAATTTGGCGCCACAGATCCCGAATGGTCAACGGTTGGCAAACTCCGCCTGCACAGGTGGTGCCTCCTCCCCAAACAGCAGCGAAAGTGCCTCCGCAGGGGCGGAAGCAGATGTAAGAATCTGCCAGACTGTTCCGTCCCTATTGATGCGCGCTTCAGTTAGCACTTGGTGGGCAGTGTGAACACGTGATATTTTGCCTGACCCATGGCTGCCGGCAGTTGAGGTGTTGGCCAATGACAGGGCTGGAAGATCCGATTGCTACAAACTTGTCATGCTGAATCATGTGCAGCTTTGCCTGGTATTGTACTGACGTCTTGCTGCTCTCATGTTCTGCCCAGGTCCCACATAAGTAAGCCAACTGTCCACACCAACGCTGTGCCATAATTCCACAAGCAGTATCAAAACACGACAGCAAGCTCTGCGCTGGCTTCCTATGTATCCTGAAACGTCTGCCCTGCATTCTCAGTATTCATCAACGTCGCCGTTTTGCTTCCAGCAGCACGCCAGAAGGCCTAAACTGAGGAAAGCTTGAATGGAAGCTCCGTGCGATAACCAGGAGAATATGCAGTGATACTGCAATGCGGTGAGATCATGGCGTGGAACACGGGGCTCCCTTTCAAGGTCTCCTTGGCAACCTGCTGAAACGGAACAACGCGCGCCGACTGGGCAAGCGTGAGATGCAGACTGCCGCACAGGGCTGACACCTGCCGAACCCTACGCGCAATGTCTTGGCTCTAGTGCTTGCTTCTAGGTTTTAGGATCTGCTAATGTGAGCTCGGCCGTACTGACCTTCGCAGAGAAGGTAGAACGATCGCAAACTCGGAATGTTGCTGTTCACCAGAACCGTCAAAGCACATTTTGTGAGAGAGGTCTATGGCTCAAAGTGCTGTCATCGCTACTCTAAAGCACGACACTCTTGTACAGCTCCTAGTGGTTGTAGTATAGGGATTGGAAAGGAGTAGTATCGCGAGGCTGCTTTGATGCTGACGGACTCCCAAGGAAACGGACACGCTGCCCTCCTTGAATCCCGGATTTCAGCGGCTCGGGACAGCGGGAGCCAACGTCGGATCGGCAGCAATCGCGGCTTCACGGTCCTTCCCCAGAGACTCCAAGATCCCTTACTGAAGATACATTCCCTAAATCACCATTAACCCTAAACCCTAAACCCTAAACCCCTAAACCATTAGGTATCCTACTATAATTTAAGGTATATTCCTTCATTAAGGGATACTGGAGTCTCAGGGTCCATGACTCGAGAGAGCCGAGAATCGATGCAGGAGGAAGGCATGGTGTTCTATAGCTTCGTAAACACCGAATACCTATACTGTACTGTCTAGGGTTTAGGGTTTAGGGTTTAGGGTTTAGGGTTCCCCAAAACCCCATTCGAATTATTGAGGCCCCTGTGCCTATCTTACACAAACAAGACCTGAAACCTCGCTATTTATGCTTCGCAGGAACATTTCATGTATGTGCTTTCGCCGACATACGCCGTCTCTTTCTTGCTGCGGCTCCTTGATGAACTCCCGGGCCGAAGGCAAGAACTCCTCCATCTTGTCCATGAACCTTTGGTTGTTGGCACCTTGGGACTTGGGCTTGACTTCAGACTCCAGAATCTCAGAAT